GGCGTCCACCGCCAACAACCATTATGTCGTCATTTGAAAAGCCTTGAAGGCCTATTTACCCAAAAGCACTTTCTAAAATGACATGGTCGTTGTGTTCGTTTGAAATGTGGGCTATTCAATGCAATTTCAGGGACTGCGGAGAGATGACAACAGAAATGGAAGGAATGGCACAAGCACCAACCTGTAAATCAAAGCCGGCAATCCTTTACGCATGGGCCAAAGATGCACCTGAGCTAAAACTACCCGAAGGTTCTCTTCCATGGCTTTCTTCTTCATTGAAGGCCGTGGGTACAAGACTGCGCAAGCGGTTACTGCGAACGTCATTGGTGGAAGGACTGCGAAGGCTTTTGGCCACACCCCACTTAGCCCTTCCACCAATGACGTTGGCAATAACCGCCTGCCCCCAGCCATCGTGCCCAGTACCTCCACCCTTTCCTTAGTTGACCAATGATGCCCATATTACAGGCGTTGCGTTCCGCGTTGGTGGCGATAGTGGCATTAATCACCTTGTCCTACAGGTTTGTAATGCTTTTCTTCCTACTACCAGAACGGGAAGCTGTGCAAAATATGCTTATTGATTAGATGGATTCAATTGTAAAGGCATGATTTCAGCTTCATTACATGCATGATCGTAACGAGCCTGATCACAGTGGTGTCACCCTGTATCACACCGAAGAACCACAACCCAAGACTGCCGCTACTATGTTGCTCGTCACCGCAGGACTTCTCCCACCAAAGAAAACTGGTACGTCGATTCTGCTAGGGTAACAGTGGAACGGGGTGAGCGTAGTGGATGGAATCGCCATCTCATGCTGCGTCAGCGGGTAGTAGATGGAAATCGCCACTTCAGGCTTGCGTTCATGCTTTACGGCAAGTTCTACCAGCATCCAACTAGCGTTCCGAGAGTGCGGCAGCGTCAACGACTAGGAAAACATAGATATCGATCTAGCTTCTGTCTTTGTCTGCCAGCGTTCAGAGCAGCGACCGGGAGTGGAGAGTATGGGGAACTAGGAGGTTAGCAAACAGCTGGATTAGGCGTCCTGAAATTGTGGCGTGTGCGACCGCACCGCATAACTAGAGCACAAATTATGCAGTCGCAATGTAACGGTGAAGTGTAGTGTTCACCGGGGTAGCACAAGCTGCAGGGCTTTACCGAACGCTAATCCGGCAGTTTTGCCTACTCTCCTACTCTCCGCCACCTCTCTATCGTCGCTGGCAGACGCTAACAGACGCTGGCAAACGCTACCGCAAAGTATGAACGCGGCCTTAGACTTCCTTTTCCTCCGACAAACTTCCATTATATCGCGCTAGACTGAAGTTGAGGGGAACATGCACTAGGCCCAAAATTGAAAAGAATTTCCATTAGTCCCTAAAACTCTCCAGCTCTCAGACTAGTTTCTACTGGCAAGCCGTGAGCCATCCCCCTCCGCCATAGCTCCTAGATAGGACGCCTCCCTCAAGCCGTACCATGGTTGTCAAGACTCCGGTTACTTCGTGAACGATTACAAGCATCACATAAGTCTGTTACGAAAGATCTCTTGAACATCGGCTTACCAGAAATAGTTAAGAAGCTTCCTGCCTTTTGCCGGTTTCAGTTTCCTTTCTGTCCCTCTTCTCAGCATGATCAATTTCCGGAAATTGTTGTCGGAATGACAGTTCGGAATCCCAGCTAATTTCTTTCGCCCATAGCTTGAATTCGAGAGTTTCTGACCTCTGTGGAGCTCAAGCGGTAAAAAGTACCCCGGGTTGAAGGTGTTTTGTTGTTTCAGTTTTCAGTTCTAAATCTGCAATAGATTTGCCCTGAGCTAGGGGAATGCGATCCTCTAAGCGCAGAGGTTGGGTCCACATAGCGCAGAAACGCATGATGATCGCGCTACAGGGCTACTTAAAAAAACACCACATATTTAATGTGATTACCTGTGACGTCCGCTTCGATAGGCGCAGGCACGAGAACAACGCCTGCGCGTGTTGCGGCGCTGGCGTTGGATCTAATTAAGCTAAATGTCGTGTATATGTGACATTCAGTGGAGTGAAGCTACCCCCGCAGAAGGAGTTTCCAGGGAATATGATGAGTTGGAGCGTTTTTGCGCCTGCGTCGCGCCTTGAACCACCTCTTGATTGAATTTCTAAATCTGTCCTTAGGAAGCTTCAGTAGAAACTTAACTGGAAACTGAGAACTCGTGCACTTCAAGGATAATGTCATAGCTAATACTGTCCCACTTCTTCTCCTTTCATTCTCATTATGAGCGATTCAAATGGCAGTTCACAGCGATCACTCCTTAATTTCGAGCCCATTCAACGGTAACTAGGCAGATGTGTCCTTCTTTGTGTCGACAGCCCTTTTCATAAAAGTGCATTAGCAAAAACATTTGCTTCGGCAACGCTTTCTGAGGATGAAAAGGGCTAATTCGTTTGAAATCAAGGGAAAACCAACTAGCTAGTTCCTAGCAACAGCCAACAGCCAGTTTCTTGGAAATGACAAAGTTCTTTGAAGTCTTGAGACCACTTTCTGTAAGAGTATGGAAAAACATAAGTAGCACTTAGCAAGATTGATCGCGTACCCTTCTATGTCGAGGATAAGTGGATTTCCTTTCGTTGCCGTTCACGTGACCAGTTCCTCCTCCACTCTACTACGGCGGGAGATCTCCATTCTCCTTCTACCGTGGAGGAGTTACGGCTCTGAGGAACGGTGTCCTTCCTCACCAGGAAGTGCAACGTAGCACTGTAGCCCTGTGGAATAATAGTATTGCGTATTATGAAAGGGCTAATTGCACACGCAATTTCATTTCGTACGCAACATTGTCCTTTGGAAAAGCCAGAAGTACACAATTGAGCAACCACAAGCGTGGCATTTCCTCTAACACATTCATGTCCGTCTCTCGAAAACAATTGGAGTATTAATTAACTTGCTAATGAAAACTGCCTATTACGGTCGCCGCCCTAATTTTCATTTTTGCGGATATCCATAATCGTATTCAAATGGACTTCTAACAACAGTATGCATTGAACGGATACGAAGTCTAAAGACCGAAAAAAAACACGCTTTTCCACAAGAGCTGACGAGAATCCCCTGTTTCACTAAGATAGTCAGAAAGGCGAGGAACTTAGTGCTCTGGGGTTTTGTTTGCTATAAACATGTTTATGTTATGTTTGAGAAAGGTGAAGGCGGGTGTTTCTGCAATGGCTTCTGGAATACGCGCGCACCTTATTCCCACCTCCGGAATCCTACCATAGTGGCTTTCTGAATGTCAGTGATTTGTGGAGGCCCATCCATTGAAAAAATCATTGTTTCTGTCTTCGCAGACGAGTTTACGGCCAATTCGGAGAGGAAGAGGACCTGATCGCCTTTTGATAATACTAGTAGGTGGGGACAAATTCTCCCTGGGGGGGGAGGACTTCTCTGCTGTGAATTACATGGACACTTGGTTTGTGGTAAGTCTGTTTTTATCTACCCCCTAGGTATTTGGGGAGTGACTTGGTATTTGACCTGCTGACGAAAAGCCTAGGAAGCGGAACCATGTGCCACTAGGCACCTCCGCCTCGTGGGCAAGGTAATTTTGAACCGATTTGGCCGTGTTGGTCGAACCTGACGCGTTCTTGTACCCCCTTAACTGATACTCCTACCCTCAAGGAAAGCGGAGAGCAGAGCACAATAAGGAGTAGAGCACAAAGGCGGGCCCTTCCCATCCGACAAACGTGGATTGTGCCTTCAACTGCTTCCTCACAAAAGAAACGGCTGGATTCGAAAGTCATAGGGCATCATAGGGTATCAGTGACAGACTGTGAAGCACTGAGGGAGTCAATAATCCCCGAAGAGTTCCCACCTTTCCTAAAAGGTAAGAAGTAAACAGGGGGGGGTCGTATACTGAACCGCGGGTGTGAGGCAAACTGGTAGTTCACACTTATAACTTAGATTTTTTCCATAAGTGAATTGTTCAGCTTTTCAGAAACCTCATTAGCTTGCTACATCTGGTATCCTATTTCTCCTCCTCCTTAATGCTGGGCTACTTAGATATTGATGGCCATTTCCAACGGAAAAATGCGCTTTCTTTTGCGTGTGTTAGGTTCATTAATTCCACCGGCTTCATGTTTCTATTTCAGAATCGTTCGAAACTGCCTGCGTCATCGAGGAAGACGTGGAGCTTCATCCATTTGCCTTCCGTACCCATGCTCACCGCCACGGTGTTGAAGTCTCCGGATGGGTGGTTAATGAGGTTCGTTTAATCAGTCCTTCGATCGTCACCGTATCGTTCCTACGTAACCATAGAAGAGTCCTTTCAAAGACTTCTTCCGCGATAATCGCATGGAAATGGGTTGAGACTTAAAGGCAGTTGGCACGATAAATCGCTATACAGATGTACGACTGGCTTAACAGAATTCCGTGACCTCGGACAGGCGCTCCGTGGCGCCTTTTCCAAGGAGGGTACCCCTATAACGCCCTATCGAGCAACAACATTCCGTCCCAAACGCCTTCCTCGCCCGCCCGCCAGCAATTATGAAGCAAAGGGATTGGTATGAAGCGGCGGTGATGCTGCATGCATATATGGGTACATATGCAGCCGTATCTTCGGTAGCGGTGATTGGCAAGATGCGTACGGGAAACTCGTCCGAAATCGATTTACAAGTCACTGAGAACGGAGGCTTTTTCTTCGCCGGATTTTGACCGTTTCACTCCGTTCTTTCGCCATTTCCCCACTATATAGCGCCCTACTAGCATTTTAGGCCGAGTGGGAAACCATCGTGCCAACTGCCTTTAATTGCGCCTTCCTCATTAGTGCACACCGGTGCAGTTCGACAAGCGGGGGAGGGGGGGCATTTTGCACTTTCATTGCTCCACTAGTTCCGGTTTGCATACTTTACCTGATGAAACCTGTGAACTCCTGTGAAGCTGGAGCAAGCTCATCGAGCCACAATGGTGAAACCTGTCAACTCACGAAAAGGCTCTCTAGATGGGTCGACACGTCAATGGGAAGTAGCAAATATGGAAAATGCCCCTCCCCCCTCGGCCGAACTGCGCCGTGCCCACCTCCTGTTTACCTTATTAGAGGGAGCGGGGCACAGCGAAGAAGTTACAGTGATTGTGAGTCTCCGCCTATCCGCTTATCGCACGGAAGCGTCTTTATCATTATTTCGGTTCTTATTAGACTCATTATCAAGATAATTGTCACAACACGCAACAAATGCTTGCGCAGTTCGGCTTGGTGGGGGCATTTTGTTGGCTGCCATCGACCAATGCTGATGCCTTCTATGGCATAGCTCCTGTAAAGCTAAGCAGTAGCGTGAGCTTCATACGCACTTGACAAGGGTCACAGGGACAAGGGACAACAGCTCGTG